AAGACATTTTGCAGGAAAACATAAGACCATCTGTCCGCCAACTGAAGCTCCGCAGAGGATGGGTGATGCAACAGGACAATGACTCAAAGCATACAAGTAATTCAACAAAACAATGGCTGCAACAGCACAGAATACGCCTTCTGGAGTGGCCCAGTCAGAGTCCTGACCTCAACCCGATTGAAATGCTGTGGCATGACCTTAAGAGAGCGATTCACACCAGACATCCCAAGAATATTGCTACACTGAAACAGTTTTGTGAAGAGGAGTGGTCCAAAATTACTCCAGATCGTTGTGCAGGTCTGATCTGCAACTACAAGAAACGTTTGGTTGAGGTTATTGCTGCCAAAGGAGGGTCAACCAGTTATTAAGTCCAAAGGTTCACATACTTTTTCCTCCCTGCACTGTGAATGTTTACATGTTATGTGCAATTAAACCATGGCAACATCTAATGTTTGTGTAGTATTATGTTCAGCAGACTGTGTTCTTCTATTGTTGTGACTTAGATGACGTTCAGAGCACATTTTATGCCCAAATCATGCAAAACTCCACGTAATCCCAAGGGGTTCACATATTTTTTCTTGCAACTGTAAGCTGCAGTTTATGACTTCATCTTTGGTTTCAGTGCTTTGACTATCTGACCCAGTACAAGAACTGATAAGGATTTCTGACTATTTTAATATATGACTAAAAACTTTGATGCCAGCCAGTGCCAAGCAACTAGCATTCTGACCCAGAACTAATATGTAGATGAGGACCTCCAACATTGCTCTGACATTCCTGATCTGCATACTTGTTCTAGATCAGCGACTCAGAAAGCATTAAAGACACTGGGTCAGCCCCAGTATTCCTGTCAGATGACAAGTTTGACATAATCGTCCCTTAGGGCCATGTTTCATCAATGCACATGGAGCAATGCACATTTATGACAAGTACTTTTGCATGTGTTTTCATGAGTGGCTCTAAGTGCTAATGTCTATTAATAACATATGTTTGTGTTTCCTTTTTTTGGGAATGGTTGAGTAAGAATTGGCCAAACAAATAATGAGACCCATGCTTTAAAAGTGCATAATGGTTCACATTACCACACATCAGTGTACACTATGATATTATTCTATTTGTAGAATAGAGCCCCAGTAACAAGGTTACTGAAAATAGTGAAAGAACACTGCAAATTATTCTCAACATCCTACATAGATAGTCATTTTTCAATTTTATGTTTACAAGTGTGCAGTACTCTGCCGACAAACACGGAATGAGAAGGACCCCGTTCAGGGAGAAACAATTGTTTTCTGTGTGTTATGTTCACATTTCATCGTAATGGCAGATGCGTGGCATTTTACGGCACGAGAAGATACCACATTGCACCGTGTGAAACAATGAATGAAGTGTCATTTGGTGACAATTCAAATTAAGATTTTTTTTTTTTTACGAGAAAAGTAAACCATGCAATGCACTGAAACGCATGTAATAATGCCCCCTCATCACAGCTTACTGCTAGTAAAAACTAACAGTTGTCCGAACAGTAAAACAGAGCATTTAGTGTGAAAGAGCCCTCAAATCTCAGCACCAAGTAAACCAAATGTTTGGATGTACTAAACTCCCAGTTTAGTTTTGTGTGTGCAACTGTATAACCCTTGCTGCACAAAAATGATAATAAAGGAGCTTCAGTATTATACCCAACTCATTCTTTTTTTTTTTTTTTTTTAACAAAATAGTTCCCCAACAGCCAGATGAATAGGATACAATACTCACCTTCAATCTGGAACTGTCCCCAGCAGTACTTCCTTTTCGTCACAAGATGTCCTCAGTCTTCCGGGTTGAATAACACCCAGCATGTATCTATACCAGCCTTTCTAAACCCCCAGAGAAAATCTTGAAATCATTTTCAGGTCTTGGGGTACCCCTGCTAAAACCAATTCATTGGGGGTCAATGGGAAAAACGTCCTTTACATTGGTGACCAGTGGGAAGAATGCCCCCCTACATTTGTGGTCAATATTCCACCCTTACAGTCAAAATGTTATTGCTTTCATGCAGATGTTTCTGCCAAGTAGCATTGCGAATGGAACTATGGAGGTACCATCAAATGGGAGGCCAATCAGCCAAGGAACATCAGGAAGAACCCTGGTTGAAAACTATTGATCTAGACAATTGCTGTTTTTTTCAATACTATGCCTGTTTTCACCTATTAGTGACAACAGTGTACCATGCAACAGTGTGACATCATCACCCCTATTCTTCACTTCGTCCAATCAGAAAATGCCAAGAGTCTAACCTCCTGTGTTCACAACGCAGCAGGACAGTCGCTTACCACAGGACCCGAAAGCTAGTGGAGATCACTGGAATAGATGTATCTACTTCAGTGATTCTGGGCCATTGGCCCATATACATATGTGTATAATTGCATTGGTTCAAGCTGGAACAAACTATGTAAAAAAAACAAAAACAAAACATACCTGGAGTTTATTCAAATTTAAGAGAGAAATATTTATTTTGAAAAAAAAAAAACAAAAACATACATACTCACAGGTCACAGGAGTGCAGAACGAAGTGCTTTGACCTTACTTGTCCTTTAATGAAAATGACATTTGAAACTACATTACCTTGTTAAAGCTATTATGGGATTATAGTACATAAAAACCATTGCTTACCAATATGCACTAAAAAGATCACGTTTGTATAAGAAAAAATACAATTCAGCTTCTTGACAGTAAGGTTATAAATTGTATGATCAAAGTGTAACCATAGTCATAGCAAGCAAGCCCAGGGGTGGTTGTATGTAGGAAGGAGACCCTACTTAAATGTAACCATGTATATTTGGAGCCTAGTTTGGAATCCGGTTTAAAAACACATGTTCCCATTTTTTGTGATAAAAATTGAATTTCCATGATGCCCAAATGCACCAAGTAAGTAGTAAATAATTCAATAAATTTTATGTGGCATTGTGTTAAACCAGCAGCAATGGGTTAGAATGTTTTCTAATGACAGTGTTTGTGGCGCAGAAATGTTTTTTTTTTCTCCTGTTGTCACAATGGGGGTTTAATGTCTGTCATGGAAGGACAGTCATTCCGCATTGGATCCCTGTCACAATGCATAGTAATGAGCAGAATATCTAACCTAAGGACGTAAGGGCAGAATAATTATCAAATAATCCCTTATTAAAATCCTAACGAGAGGCATTAAACATCGGCCAAGAAAAGGCCCCGAAACAAGCTGAGCAGCACACGCTGCTCACAGCAAAACAGGATAATATCAACAATTACCCAGTATAAGCTCATTAGTACGGGGCCGCAGAATGGCTCAATGCTGGGGGGGTGACAGTGAAGGACAGTGACAAGGAGCTCTCCAATCACATAATGGTTTAATAAGCAGCTGGGACACAGTAAGGGGTCATAAGCAGTGGGAAAATGCTGCGGCTTGCCTGCTAAACTTGGAGTCTAAATTAACCCTTTCCCATCGTTCTAACGCAGGCTGGAAAGTCACAGACAACAGATTTCCATTTTTTTGGAGCATTATATATATATTATTTCTGTGCATGAATTTTTATGTGTTATATGTAAAGTGTTGTAATGTGCTTATTTGTGTTGCGACATGGACTTCCTATGAGGGATTGCACTTTCTGTACAATTCTCTACATGAACATGCATATCTAGTACACGTGGCACCATTCATCCCTTTGGAACCTGCACTTTACCACACCTGCAAGAAAATTGCAGAAAACAACATTTTCAGAAAACAAAGTGCACCGAAACAAAGATATAAAACTATACCACAATATACAATAGTGGCTATTTATAGCGGAGACTGCTATCTGTTCTACCATGCTCTATTCCGCATTACTTATTGATTTATATTTTACTAGAATTCTTTGTGCGTTCATAAAGAAAGGGTTCAGAGTTGTTCACAAATATTGTATCTTTAGTGCTATTGATATACAAAGATTGTTAAATACAATAGATACACTTTCAGTGGTTCTAAAGCCTGAAGGTTTTTTTTTTACCTTTTATGCATTCTATGCATGAGGGTAAAAAACCTTCAGTGTGCAGCTCCCCCCTTAGCAACCCTCATACTCACCTGAGCACATTCCTGATCCAGAGATGTGCACAAGAGCAAAAGCTCTCCCAGTTGTTTCTCTCCTCACAGGCTCAGACGCAGCACTGGGTGCCATTGGCTCCCGCTGCTGTCAATCACAGCCAGTTAGGAGGGAGCGGGGACGAGCCACACTCTGAGTGTCTCAGACACACAGAGGTGTCTCAAGAGTGAGCATGCATGAGTGCCCTCAGAGAAAGCAGCTTGCCTGGGAGGGGCCTGGAGTGCCAGGAAGGGAGGATCAGGGCTGCTCTGTGCAAAACCATTACACAGAGCAGGTAAGTATGACATGTTTGTTATTTTTTTAAAAATAGCCTGGTCAGGAAGGGGGGTAAATCCTCTGGAGGGCAAGTGGCTAATGTACCTCGGTTGCAGAAAAAAAAGCGGTCTTTGATTTTGAGAACACGGCCTTACCTTTGGCCCTACTGAATTTCTTGGAAAGCATCACTTGCTGCAGAACAACCATTAACCACTTGCCTACCAGGCACTTATACCCCCTTATTTACCAGGCCAATTTTCAGCTTTCAGCGCTGCCGCACTTTGATTGACAATTGCGCGGTCATGCAACATTGTACCCATATGAAATTTTGATCATTTTTTTCTCACAAATAGAGCTTTCTTGTGGTGGGCGCTTTACTTTTTGCGCTATAAATAAAAAATTGCCAAAAATTTGAAAAAAAAAAAAAAAAAGTTTCTTTGTTTCTATTATAAAATTTTTTAAACAGGTAATTTTTCTCCTTCACTGATGTGCGTTGATGAGGCAGCACTGATGGGCACTGATAGGCGGCACTGATGGGCATTGATAGGCAGCACTAAAGGGCACTGATAGGCAGTACTAATGAGGTGGCACGGATAGGCGGCACTGATAGACAGCACTAATGAGGTGTCACGGATAGGCGGCACTAATATGCAGCACTGATAGGCGGCACTGATAGGTGACACTGATGATGGGTACTGATAGACGGCACTGACTGGCATCACTGCTGGGCACTGACTGGCGGCACTGACTGGCACAACCGCTGGGCACTGACTGGCAGCACTGCTGGGCTGCACTGGTGGGTGGCACTGGTGGGCAGCACTGGTGAGTGGGCAAATGTGGGTGGCACTGGTGGGCACAGGTGGGTGGCACTGCTGGGCACAGGTAGGTGGCACTTCTGGGCACAGGTGGGTGCACTGCTGGGCACAGGTGGTGATCTGCTGGGCACAGGTGGGCGGAGCTAGTGGGCGCACTGCTGGGCACAGGTGGGCGGAACTTGCGGGTGGCACTGCTGGGCACCGATCATCAGGGCACTGATCATCAGTGCCCTGATGATCGGTGCCGATCCCCGCTCTGACAACTGCCGGTTCTCGGCAGTACTTTCCTCACGATCTGACAGCGTGAGGAAACTGCAGCCGAGAACCGGCACTTGAATTTCCCTCTGATCAGCGTGTCATTGGACACCGCTGATCAGGTGGTAAAAGGCCGCTGTGATTGGCCTTTTACCACATCACGTGATCAGCTGTGTCCGTAGGACACAGCGATCACGGAGATCGCCGGGTGCGTGCCCCCTGGGGCGCGCAGGAGAGCGCGTTCTGGGGGACGTCATGACGTCCACTCAGAACTGGCCGGCCGCAGTGCAGCCGTCATTCGGCTATCTGCGGTCGGCAACAAGTTAAACATAGGGAGGAATTCATCAGCTGACCTCATTAGCACGCACCTGTGGCTGCCTTCTCCTCTTGCAGCCGATCACCACCACACAGGTGCACAGTTTTCAAATATAATTAATCAGCGATCACCGTGGTCAATAAATACACAGCAATCGATTTCTTTCCTATCTTAATTTCATCTTGCATAGATCTTTCATGTGGCAGAGTGTGCAGGAGATGAACGATCAGATAACAGCCTATGTGGATAGAGCTGTAGCATTGAAAACAGGAGAAGTGTGCCCTGGGTTCTGTAAAGCTCACCATACACTGTACAATCTCATTGTACAATCTCCTTTAGATTTACCATCAACTATGTAGTGCAAGGACTGGCATGATTGGATATAGAGTGAGTGGATAGGTGGTGTTTTGGTAAATCTAAAGGAAATTTTACAGAGATTGTGCAATCAGATTGTATAGTGTATGGCCACCTTTATACACCTAAAATTACCTTACCTTGCACTTTTGGTGCCATTAGTTGTCAATGGCACACCAAACACAAAAACAAGCACACAGTTTGCCGCATGAAAAAATGAGTGACTAATGCAGCAAAATGCACAGTAAAATGCATGCAACCCACATCACACCAAAATGTCCCATGAGCTCCTTTGCCACGTGTAGCACAGTCCATTAAAATCCATGGGCTGCTCTATGTATTACTGGAAAAACGAGCAAAAAAAGCATGCGCTCCCACTACTCTGTGTGAATGGGGCCTGAAAGTGAAATTCCAAAGAACAATGAGGCTCCATTCACATCTGTGTGTTTCCGAACGCATGACAAACTATACAGAATATGCATGCTTTGCCATGCATTTCACAAACACGCGGCAAATGTGCATCCTGTTTGTGTTGTCATTACATGTTAAAGGCACACCCCAAGTGCAGCAAACACACCAAAGATTGGTAACGCACCGTGCTCCGCTCAAAAAAAAAAAAAGTTCTGGAACTTCTCTGGGGTTTCTTGTTGCGTGCAGGAAAGCCCATTCAAGTGAATGGCCTGCCCTATGCATGACAAGTGAAACACTCCAAAACAAACGCATGCAGGAATGGGAGTTTTCACTGCATGGATATGTGTACGAGGCCTGACTGTCTCCGTCCACCCCCTCCTATGCACTCGTATAAAGATGGCCAATCACTATGCAATCTAGTTGTGCAATCTTTGTACAATTTCCTTACATGTACCAGAACTATGGAATAGGAGGACCCACCTGAACAATCCATTCAATCTGTATAAAATCAGACAGGACCTTGTACATCATTACTGATGGGAGATCTAAAAGAGATTGTAACTCAGATTACACTCAGTTTGCATAGAAAATGGGTGGAAGGTAGTATTGTATTGAGGGAGATGTGGTCCAGAGTGGGGAACACGCCCTATCACACAGTTTTCTGTGATGCAACAAGGAAGTGAAGGCTTGTGGAAGATGGACTACAGGAAGTGAATGCTGAGAATCGATCTACAGGAAGCAATGGCATCCGAAAATCATTTAACAAATTCAAATAAAATGACAAGATTTTAAACCTCATGTGGATAAGGCAAGTGAGAGAAAAGCACATTGGGATGGCTGGGCTAGAAATGGTGTTGGATGTTGTTTTTATTTAATATGAAAAGTGAAACTCTGCCCGAAAAGGTGAACTTATCCTTTAAGATGCCAGTGGCCACCAATGATAAGGGAGAGAGTGAAGACCATTGACCACCAATGAATATGGGATTTTTAGGAAAAGTGTGAGTGGGGGGGGGGGGTGTTTAACTACTTCCCCTCCACCCTATAACAAAAATACAGCTACAGCACGGCCGGGGTGCGCAAACTCACGTATATATAAGTGATTTTGTGGTTTCGGGTAGGGGGACACGCGCCCTACCCACGCCACCATTTGTGGCCTCAGCTGTTAATCACCAGGTCCCAGCCGATGATCACCGGGTATCTCTGACAGGTGAGAGACCTGTATGTAAACAATACAGATCTCTCCTGTCAGCTCCAGCACACTGCTTTATATAGCTCTGCATAGCAGAGCCATATAAAGCAGTGTGCTTACAGTGAAACATACACACAGCAAAACAGCACACAGTTAACCCTTTGATCACCCCAGATGTTAACCCCTTTCTGTCATTAGTACAGTCTCAGTGCTTTTTATTAGCACTGATCACTGTAGAAGTGTCACTAGGGGTGTCAGTGACACCAAATTAGTTCCCCTCCAGTGTCAGAATGCCCGCCGCAGTCTCGCTATAAGTCACTGATCACTGCCATTACGAAAAAAAAACCCTAATATATATATATATATATATATATATATATATATATATATATATATATATATATATAAATAAATTCCAGTATCTATACCACCATTTGTAAACACTATGACTTTCACATAAACCATTTAATTTACATGTATTGCAAAGGCATGTAGCAGAATGCATTTTTGCCTAAACTTGACGAAATTAGATTTTTACATTTCTTTTACTGGACATGTTTAATATCAAAAAGTCAAAAATATTGTTTTGTTTCTCAAAACTGTGCATCATTTTTATTCATAGTGCAAAAAAATAAAAAACACACAGCCGATCAAATACCACCGAAAGAAAGCTCTATTTGTGGGGAAAAAGGAACGTAAATTTCATTTGAGTTCAATGTTGCATGACAGCGCAATTGTCAGTTAAAGTAACGCAGCGCCATATTGCAAAAAATGCCTGGTCAGGAAGGGGGGGAAATTCTCTGGAGGGCAAGTGGTTAAGGTATTGTGGGTCTATCCATGACACCTAGCCATTTCACACTTTTAAAGGCTAAATACCTTCAATACCAGCACGTTTCTTCATTTTAAAAGAATTTCAGGAAAACTCTTGAGTCATCCACTTTCCAAAAAGGGGATATTGCGGGGGGGGGGGGGGGGGGTCCTACTGCCCTGGCTGGAATTTTTATTTGATATATTTTATACTAGAAAGTATAACTATACTTTGTTTTTAATATTTTTATCTTGCTTCCTTGTTGATGTATACCATCTGTCTAGAGTTTGCGAAAGGGATGGAAGAGGGATGATGTTTGGAGTACTTTGACCTATTGATTACACTGTTCAACAAATTTTTTTTTTTTTTTTTTTTTGCCAGTTTTGGAAACAAAAGGATCCATTTCTTAATGAATTTCACATTCTGAGTTCAAATATAACAATGAAATTTGTCAATTGGCTCTAGTTTTTCTTTAAACGGAAAGTTTTCTACTATAGGCGTAATGACTACATAATGCACAATAATTATATAGATAGATGACTTTCCACAAATATAAAGCAAGTGATATTGACTACATAACAAAGCCTAAATGGCATAATATATTGCATAGGATTACCAAGAAAAATGATAGCCATAAGCTAAGTTGAATCATTTTAATACTTAGGATTCTCACTAGTTTTGTCTTCAGTTTGTGTCGGTTTTGCTTCTCTTGGCTTTTCTCTTGTATTCGAGGAAAGGGCTATCTCTTACAACTGCACGTGACTACACGCTTCAGGTTCTTCCTCACTTGACTCAACCACGAAGGATTCTGGTGCTTTAGGAATTGGTAGCCCCTCTCCATGAGGAACTGGACGTATTGCCGATGGAATATTTGGATAGTGCACAGATAACTTTTTCTTCTTATTTAGCCCTTTTACAATTGGAGGCACCATACAAAAGTAACAATTACTAACATGATCTGTTGGCTCTCTCCAAATCATTGGCACAGCGAAAGGCATAGATGCCTTTTTTCCATTCAACCATTGCTCCAGTGCCGTCCCACAAGAATTGCAGCATATATGTGGTGCCCAGCTCTTGTCCTGGTCTCCTATCTTGCAGCCAAAATACAAGTTGTAGGCTTTCTTAATCATTCCTGTTATCCTCCTTTTTTGTGAGATAAAAGTTATTTCACCGCAGATATAGCAGAAATTATCTGCTTTATTCACACAAGTTTGAGGCATTACTGAGTAGCCTATATAAGCATAAAACTAAATGTAAAGACGCTGTCGAACTACAATCAGCTACAGATACTGCAGTTTTTTATGCAGTGAAGTGATGCAATTAAAGGCTAATATTGCATCATCTCAGTATACATGCAATTTTCTATTGGTCACCAGTATCAATTGCGCAATATGCAGCTGAAGTTGCATCATAATTTTGAATGGTTTACGTCATTAGATGGGTGAATATATCATGGAAACTAGAGCCAATCAACATTTTTTAGGGTCATTTTCGTTTTCAGCACCCCAAAATTATGTAAGATTAGCTAATTATATGCCCAAAACTTTTTACCTGTTGAACAGTGTTATCAGACCATTTGGCTTGCATACATTGCTGTTTTGGTGTAGGATCTGGGTGTGTTGATTCATCTCTTCCATGGATGGTCAGACTCCACTCTAGACCAGAATAGACTGAAATAACTTTTGTATGAATATACTGTTTCTTGCTTCTGAAGCTCCTATTTCTGGCATAAAAAAAAAACTAGAGGATTATTTTGGAGAACCAGTACATTGTTTGGGCTATCATCTTTATTTCCCTTGAATGTTCCCTTTTGAAATTGAGATTTTTTACAGCAGCAAACTGTATGGAGACTTTTAATTGTATATTACTGGATTTCGTCATATGGATATCATTCACATGTCCTCCTGATGAAGATATTTGAAGCATTTGAAACGTGTTGAGCTAACATGTGGATTTTGAACTGAAATAAGATCTGTGAACTCTGC